AGGGCACCATTACTTGCCTGCCTGCTACCTGCAGGGGCAGGCTCACTGAGTGCTGATGGTGAGGGGCAGTGCACAGCAGGGCTGGTGGCCAGCCGGGGCCCCTATGGCTGCCCAGGCCATGGTGTTGTGGCCAAGACCCCACTGACACAGAATTCTGGGCCTGCAGAGCTGCTGTGACCATGTGGAAGGCAATCGTCTCCTCAAGTAGAGCTGCGGAGAAGGTGCTGCCGGAGCTGCTGTGCGTGCTGGAGGACTGGCCGCTGCACAGAACATCCACCTCTGACAAGGACTACTCAGACATCTTTTCCCTGGCTGTGAGTTGCTGGACTAGACCATAGCACATCCTCAGGGGCTACCTCTCTGGCATCTCTCTATCCTTCCTCCTGCACCAGTGATCTCCTCAACTCATGTGATGGGCTGGAAATCTTGGTTAAGGGGAGGTTCAGAGGCAGCCATGTCAGATGCTCCCCCTGCATCTCCCCTGGACCAGGGCAATGCCTGAACCTCACCCTCCCACACTCGGGCCCTGCCATGGGGATGTCTCAGTGCTGAGTGCAGTCTCTGGGAGATTTGTTTTTTGCAGGCAACCAGAGCACTGTGGGAGATCATCCATCTGCCCCACCATCCAGAGGCATTGATGATGTATTTCCCCTGCCTCTTTGTGGCTCTGCTATTCCAAATCTTCTCCAGCACAACGCAGATGCCAGTAGAAGTCAATACCTTCTGGAGGAGATGCCAGCAGAAGCATTGCCTTCCCACCAACCCCAGCAGGTGCTCCACTACAGTCCTCCCGTCCCTCCCATGATCTTGGAGCTGGGCTCAGGAATCCTGGCATGACCTGGGCTTTGCTCTGCACACAGATTCATAGTGCAGACCATGAAATCACTGCTCTGCCATCTTGAGTATGAGGATGTGGTGTCTGAAGTTGAACATGAGCGTGGCTGGGACACATTCCTCAATATTGACAATCACCAGTATGCAGTGGGTCTGCTGGCCAGGTGAGACCTCCCTTCTCCCTGCTCCCCCATCATTTCTCCCCAGGAGATGAGGTGGTCCTGACATAATCCCTGTGCTCATGGGTGAGAGGGACTTGTCACTGAGTCATGGCCCTGCAGAGTGGAAAAGCCTGGGAGAGCTGGGTGCTCTGGAGCAGCCACAACCCGAAGTGCCAGCATGGCCTCCTGTGAGTCCTGTGAGCCCTGGGCTGATGGCACAGAACAGGAGGTCTGTCTGCAGGGAACCTCACTGAGGATAGCCTTTCAGGGCCAGAGAGATTTGGGGCCAACCATTGATGGCCATCCACAGCCTGGTTGCTCATATCCCCTGTGGGTAGGAAGGTGTTTTTACAGTCTGGTCATCCCCAACAGACCCTGCTGGTGTTGAGTACTGCCTTTCTCCTTTTGAGACGTGGTGGGGGAGGACCAGGCTTTGGTAATTCACTCTCAGGAGAGGTTTGCCCACCCTGCTCAGGGTCA